TCCACCTCACCCCCACTTCTTTCCCCTCCTCCTCCTCCTCCTCCTCCTCCTCCTTACCTCCTCTTTGTCTTTCTCCTCCGTTTCCTCCCTCACCTACTGTGCCTCCTCCTCCTCCTGGGCCTCCTTCCCAACCTCCTCCTCCTCCACAATGTCGTCCTCCTCAACATCCTCCCTCATCTCCTCCTCCTTCTCCTCCTCGCCCTCCACCCCAACTCCACCACCCTTCACCACCACCACCTCACCCCGCTCGTTCTCCTCCTCCACATCCTCCTCATCACTTCACCACTTCCTCTCTCACCACTCACCTCTTGCACTTCCTCCTCCACCTCCTCCTCCTTCTTCTCCCCCACCTCCTCCTGTACCTCTTCCGTGTCCTCAATCCCAACTTCATCACACTCTACCCATCCTCCCCATCCTCCCGTCCTCCCCATCCTCCCACAAGGCTATAACTAAAGTTAATTCTATATTGAAAACCAAGGTTACTGTGTCTTCGACAATAAGTCGTTATTGTAGAATTGCAAAATTTTATCTAACATTTTTGGCCGTTTTAAGTTACTGAAGCCATGAGATCAGAAACCAGATGCCCTGTCTGATCTATTAAAATCGTAAAATTATTCTGAGTTGTTGTCAAGACGCTCAAAGAATTGCTTTCGAAAACGCTTGAAATGTTGTGATAATGTGAAAGTCAAACATTTTTACGTCAAATTTCTCAAAACAAGGTACAGAGCAGTGAGCAGGCACATGTAGAACTTTGTAATTCAGAGGTAGCGAAGTGTTCAAGTTCAAGTCAGGGCTTATCGATATTTTTATAGTCCGTGTTCACATTGGCCACCTTGAAGATGCTAAGATTTTTGTACTACCCACATACATATTGATATAGCCTACATGTATTTCTAAGCGGGATATAAAATATCACATGAGTGATCTCCACCGCCTACTGCCCACCGCCAAGGTCATAGTAAGCTCCTTGCTCACCGCCCACCAATCCACCAATATGGACGATATAGCACAGGTTGGCTTGCACTCAGTTAAGCTTGTGTGTGGGGGCTCTCGTGGCCTAGGGGTTAAGGTGTTGGCCTCTCATTCAAAAGGTCCCGGGTTCGAATCCGGGTAGCGACCGAAAAAAATTTCTTCTCTAAATGTGTCTCCTTTCGCCTTATTTCCTGCTCTCTAGCAATGTGCTGTCGTCTGCTTTCGTCTCCTCTTTCTGCCCCCACCCCTTCACCTCTTTTGCCCCTTCCTCTGGGCTCCTTATTCTCTCTGCAGCCTTTCTACTGCTACTCCTTCGCTTCTTCTTACTGCTGTCTTTCAGCCACACCCCTGATCTTCTGGTAGGAAAGAACTACACCTAGCCTTCTCGGACAAGGCAAAAATCTCGGAGGGCCCGTGTGCAA